GATCCGAAGGGGTTGATGAAAGACGTCGCGAGCTGGTCGGATTTTTCATCGCGATCTGATGGTAGCCGGAGTATGCATCGAGGAAGCAGAGGGTTTCGCACCTTGAGGTAGAATCGACTATTTGGTCAATGCGTGGCAAAGGAAACGGATCCTTTGGGCACGCCTTGTTGAGACCTGTGTAGTCAACACATCCTCCATTTCCCACTCTTTTTTTGTACAAGAATGGGATTTGCTAACCACTCTGGGTGGTATACTTCTTTGATGAATCCGGCCGCCGACAGCTTGGCTATTTCCTCCTCGATGGCCCTGCTTTCTTCCTCATCGAAGTGACGCGGGCGTTGCTTCACCGGCCGGGAGCCTGGATGGATTTTCAAAGTATGCTCGGTGACTTCCCTCAGAATACCCGGCATGAACGAGGGTTTCCACGCAAAGACGTCTTTGTTGTCGCGGAGGAAGTCGACGAGCGCGCTTTCCTATTCGGAGGAAAGTGTGGTACCGATGCGTACCGTTTTACCCTCGGCGCTCCCCGGGTCTATGAGGACTTCTTTGGAGCCCTCTGCTGATTTGAATGACCCGGCCAACTTTTTGGCGTCGGACGGTTCTTCGGTAACCTCTTCCTGGAGGGCAACGAGCTCTTCGGAGGTGACGGTTGCTGCGGTGCGGCCACAGCACTCGACCTCGCACTCGTAAGCGCGCTGGAAGGAGGTGGCGACGGTGATGACCCCGCGGGGAACCAGCATCTTCAGCTTGAGGTATGTATAGTTGGGGACGGCCATGAACTTCACATAACATGGACGTCCCAGGATGGCGTGGAAGGTCTCGGGGAACCCTACCATGTCGAAGGTGAGGGTCTCAGTCCTGTAATTGAATCAATCTCCGAAGGTGATGGCCAGATTGATCTGCCCTAGTGGCACGACCTGTTTACCAGGCACGACGCCGTGAAAGGGTGCTCGGATTGGGCGGAGGTTCGACCGGTCGACGCCCATCTCGTCGAGTGTCTTGGCGTACATGATGTTGAGGCGCTGCCTTCATCCATCAGTACTTTCGTGAGTCGCTTTGGGCAGATGATTGGGTCGACTACAAGCGGATACCTCCCTAGGTGCGGGATGGTATTCGGATGGTCGACTCGGTGGAAGGTTATGGCAGATTCCGACCATCGGAGGAAGGCAGGCGTGGCTGGCTCGGTCGTATAGACCTCGTGGCATGCGACCTTCTAGCGGCGCTTGGAGTCGTGGGCGTTGGTCCTCCGAAGATCATAAGGGCGTCGTTCGGCGTTGGGAAGGCGTCGTCTTTTTCCTCGGCGTCGTCTGTAGCAGGGGGCGGATCTTTCCCCTGCTCCCCTTTGTTGGAGCTTCCGGACAAGAATTTGCGCATGAGGCCGCAATCATTGTACAAATGCTTTGCTGGGAAAGTGTGGTTCGAGCATGGCCCCTCGAGCATTTTTTCGAAGTGGTTCGGAGTGCCCTCCGTTGGCTTTCGACCACCCTTTTGGTCGGCAGCGGCCACGAGTGAGTCCTCGCGCCGCTGCTTTTTGTTCTTCCTTTTGCCGAAACGGTTAGAGGAGCCTTCGTTGGCGACCTCCTCTCGCCTTGCCTTGCCCTCGGAACGGTCGAAGATTGCTCTGACCGCCTCTTCTCCTGAGGTGTGGCTGGTGGCGATGTCTAGGAGTTCCTTGGTGATTCACGGGCCCTTGCGTCCTAGCTTATGAACCAAAGACTCGTAGGTAGTTCTGGATAGGAAGGCCCCAATCACGTCAGCGTCGGCGATGTTAGGGAGCTCGTTGCACTGCCGGGAGAAGCGCCGGATGTACCCACGGAGGGTTTCATCGGCTTTGGTTCCATCGTCGGTGATGATCCTTTTGTGTACATTATGAGCCGTGGAGTGTGCACGCCCACCGTTTCCGCGGAGTTCAATCTCGCGATTGATCTCCGCGTATTCCCGCGCGAGCCCTTGTCCGGCCTCATTGATTTCCAGCTTTCGGGCTCTCAGCTGCTCCATCCTTACGTGAGATGGAGCCGCTGTCTCCCCTCCGGTCCTGCCATCGGGGTTGCCTGTTGGGGTAGCCTCCTCCCCGGATATGCTTTTGACGTGCCCCTCGGAGGTTTCCGCCATGAAGCATTCCCATGAAGAATTTCCGTGAGGAGCTTGTGGAGGGACTCCATGTCGTGTTCAATTACCCCCACGAACATGCTGTCCGCGGGTGGCTGAACCATGCGTTGCGCCACAAGGTGGCCGACAGTCGCCGCGGTGTTGCAGAGACCGAACGGAAATGCTATCGGGGCGCTCCGTGCATGGCGTTCCGGAGAGAGGAGTCTTTCTCTGGAAGGCCGCGCCATGTCGTTGTCGTTGGAAAGGGTGTGGCAACGCTGGTCCTCCTCGGACTGCTGGAGTCCGAGGGAGGCGCCGAGCTGGTGCCCAAGCCTCTCGTCGTCGAGGCCGATGGAGGGGAGAGATTGGATGGCAGCGTGAGCCCGTGCCAACCCTCCTCCCACCGTGATGATGAAATCTAGGCTCCCGAAGCGCACGTGTGCGCCTAGGACACAGCTGATGTCATGGTTAGCCATTCGTGGCCTAGTTTGGAACGCGCAAAGGCCCCTACCTGGCGCACCAACTATCGGTGTTTCGAACAAACACCGGCTAGTAAATTTATATTTATGCGCGTTAGGCCCAGATGGTGCGCTAAAGGACACAAGGTTTATACTGGTTCGGGTTGAATGTCCCTACGTCCAGTCTGTTGCTGCTCGTGTTATTAGCACCGAAAATGGTTCGTAGTAGGGGGTACAAATGGTCGAGAGAGGGACTGGTCCCAGGTCTCTGATGGAAGGGTCGAAAGGATGCCAAGAGCCTGGTGGCAGCCTAGCTGTGTGCGTGATGTGTGGAACTGAACTCTCTATGAGCTCAGTCTGTGTGTGAGTTGTCCGTCAAAAGTTGGTCCCTCTAGTGGGGAGCTCTGCCCTCCGTTTTATAGACCAAGGGCGGAGCAGGGGTTACACATGGGATAAAGAGGAAAATACCAAGGGTATAGAAGGTCCTTTGAAGGATCCAGGTCTTCTTTTTTTCCCGCGCCTGCCCTGCTTAATCATGGCAGACCGTGTCAGAAGTGGCGTGTTCGTTGATCTTCATAGGACATGCCCTGGCCCTATTTAGCGAGTGGGTGCGTCCCATCCTATGTCGGCGGACGGTGCGACGTGCCCTGGAGAGACGAGAAGTGACCCCTCGGGGAGTAATCGGGGAAGCGACCATATGTCCGTTACTATAGATGATGGGAGTTTCCTCTTGGACTGTAGTGGTTGTCATATGTTGGTGTCTGGTTCCTCACCCGAGGGCTGAAGGCGGCGCCTACAACACTGTAGGGTGAAAAGCACGCGCCCATAACACTATTCAGCCCCTGCGATGCCTGGAAAGGTCTGAAGCGCCTGTCCCGTCATACCCTGACAGTACTTTCCCACAGTGGCGTAGGGCATGGTCCTTGCTGTCGCGGTTGACCCGAATGTCTTGTCTTACCCTGTGTCCGTCATCACGAAGGAGCGGGGTGCGGTTGTCAGGTGAGACGGTGCCTAGCCCTTGGTCGTTGGGCGAGGCGGAGCCCACCCTCGGGCGTCGGGCGAGGCAGAGCCTAGCCCCTAGCCATCGGGTGAGGCATCCGTCGGACGAGGCGGAGCCCGCCCTCGGGGGTCAGGCGAGGCGGAGTTTATCCCTCGGGGGTCGGGCGAGACGGAGTCTTTCCCTCGGGGGTCGGGCGACGCGGAGTCTTGGACTTCAGCTGTCGGGTGAGGGAGAGCCTAGCCCTCGGGGGTCGGGCGAGGCGGAACCATTCTTCCATCGTTCGGGCAAGAAACGCAGTAGTGTTCTCGTCCCGCCGGGAGCATCAGCGTCCGGCGGTTACTAGTCCCATATTGTTGGGTACCTCGGTATTAGGTCCCCGACAGTACTGATCTGTTTTCTTTACGTTTTCTTTTGGTTTGTGCAGTGATACAACATGTCAAGTCGTGGAGCGGTGAAGGTAGTAGTAATGGTTTAAAATATGAACTTTTGAGTTGTGTTCGGCTCTTCAACAGCTGTGGGCACTAATCTGTTTTCTTCACTTTTCCTTTTTGTTAGTGCAGTGATACAACATGTCAAGTCGTGGAGAGCTGGAGGTAGTAGTAATGGTTTGTGATGTAAAATATGAACTTTTGAGTTGTGTTCGGCTCTTCAACAGCTGTGGTACTGATCTGTTTTCTTTACTTTTCCTTTTTGTTTGTGCAGTGATACAGCATGTCAAGTCGTGGAGCGGTGGAGGTAGTAGTAATGGTTTGTGATGTAAAATATGAACTTTTCAGTTGTGATTCATGACTATGCAACGAGGTTTTATAGATTTATATATATATACTAAATTGTTATTTTCCAAATTCATAATAATGTATTTTTGTTCTATTGTGACAGACCTGATGGGCGCCCGAAACTAAACAGGTGCCACGCAGACGACCGTTGGGCAGGGACCTTTAGTCCCGGCGGTAAAAAATGCCGAGACTAATGTCAAATTGGGACATCGTTCTAAAGTCTGTTCTCTAGTAGTGGTTAATAATTACACTCAAGGAAATAGTAGTTTCCTTGGCTATTTAGAGTTACACTCAAGGAAATGAGTAATTTTCTTGGAGATGAAGTGGCTCATCGACAGAGTTACAATTTAAAGTCGTCATAGTCCCTCTCGCTCGAAGTTCGGTTTTGTGTGCGTTCATACGCATACAGGTCGTGAAGTGGCTCATCGACAGAGTTAATCATTTGTAATTGGCATTTCGGCACCATTTCCGTGAATCTATCGTGTTCTTGGCCAACAATCAAGGTCATTTTTTCTCACTCCAGAGGCCCTTATACTTTTCTAACGGACTCATCCTCCACGGGCTACCGCCTGCCGGCCACCTATAAATACACGCATGCTCCCTCCCAAACTTCCCAAGCAGCCTGCTAGCCCACTCGGTCGACTGCTCGACAGGAAAGTAGCTAGCTAGCTAGCATCAATGGCGGCCTCCTCGATCCTCTTCCTCCTCCTCGAAGCCTTGGTGGCCGGCGCCAGTGCCTCCACCTTCACGATCACCAACAACTGCGGGTTCACGGTGTGGCCGGCGGCGACGCCGGCCGGCGGGGGCACGCAGCTGAACCCAGGCGGGACGTGGACCATCAACGTGCCCGCCGGCACCAGCTCCGGCCGGGTCTGGGGCCGCACGGGATGCTCCTTCAACGGCGGCAGCGGGAGGTGCCAGACCGGCGACTGTGCTGGCGCGCTCTCCTGCACCCTCTCCGGCCAGCCTCCCCTGACGCTGGCTGAGTTCACACTCGGCACCAGCGGCGGCAACCAGGACTTCTACGACATCTCGGTGATCGACGGCTATAACCTGGCCATGGCCTTCGCTTGCAGCACCGGCGACCGCATCATCGTGTGCACGGGGTCGCAGTGCCCTCAGGCGTACCTGTTTCCGAACGACAACTCCAAGCTCCATCATTGCCCCGGCAACAGCGACTATCAGGTCACCTTCTGCCCATGACCATGACTATGACCATGAGGCAGCAGTGTGCATGTTCGGCCGACGACGCATGCATGAGTTACATATATACATATATATATATATATATATATATATATATATATATATATATATATATATATATATATATATATATATATATATATATATATAAGCATGAACCCACTCATGCAATAATGTCACCATGTAAGTATTGCATGAATGGTTATAGTATATATAACATGTTGATGAGAATAAGACCATCCTGAAAATCGCACATGCATCATGTACATGTATGAAATATGGATATATAATGCGTTTCAAGCATATGTCTAGTCTATAAATCATGGCTGATGTGTAGCCATCATCTATATACCAAATATTAAGAGCCAAAATTGACGGAGGGAGAGAGAGAGGAGGGTGAGTGTGAGTGAGGGAGAGAGAGAGGAGGGTGAGTGAGGGAGAGTGCGCCATTGGGTGAGCGAGAGATAGAGAGTGAGAGGTTGGTTAAGTGAGAATGAAACCCTACCTCTCTGTATATATACACTGCTAGGCAGGGCCTCGGATTTTCCAAGGCCAGCCATATTGTGTGCCCGCCTCCGAAAATGGATTTACGGAGGTGGGGACCTTAAGACAATCACCTTCGAAAATAGAACATTTTTGGAGGTGATTGTCTTAAAACGACTGCCTCCGTAAATCAATTTTCAGAGGCAGGTATTTCCTTACTATCTCCGTAAACAAAACAACCGCATCTGTAAATCGATTTATGGAGACGTAAATAAAAAAAAACTGCCTCCCGGTATTTTACGAGGCGGTTGGATTTTGTGACCACCTCGGTTAATGTTTGGGCAGTGCCGCTTAAAATCATTTTTGTAGTACTGAGCATCGCATTGACAATTTGACATTTAGTAGCACACACTTGAACAAGCAATCATGTTATAGTTCTGAACTCTGAAGTGACCTCTTATAAACGGCACCGCAACGTAGCAAGCACAGTGCACTTATTATCACTCAATAACTATAATAACAACACTGCTATCTGAACCTTCAGTGTCTCGAACAGAAACATAGGGACACCATAGCTGAGGCCAGACAGGAGAGAAGCCATGGCGCTACCTGCGGTCTGCACTCTATGCGGTGAGGATGGGCGGGATGTAAAGCGACTTGTTGCCGAGGACGCGGACACGGGTGTCGGGGAAGTTCTCCATCCACGGCAGCGCAGTAACGGTGCCGTCGGCAGTGACATCGATTGGGTAGCTGAGGAGGTGGCCTGGGAGGTCCTGGTCCAGGTCATCGCTCGAGTACAGATCCCAATACTTCTCAGCGATCCGGTTCACCTTCTGCACACACTCCACGCTCTCAGGGCACTGGAAGACATCATCCAGTATTCCCAGGTGCTCGTACACTACCGGACTCCTTGAGTTTGCCGAGTGTCCGAAACACTCGGCAAAATACCTAAAACACTCGGCAAATTGTTTGCCGAGTGTAACACTCGGCGAACAACACTCGCCATAAACAGTTCCGGCAAAGCCAACTTTGCCGAGTGCCATTTATCGGGCACTCGGCAACCATTTTGCCGTGTGCAGTTTAGCTCTCGGCGAAAAGGAACAGTCATAACGTCAGACCCGCCGTTAACAGCAACTTCGCCGAGTGTCAAACGGCAAGGCACTCGGCAAATATTTTCTTTTAAATATTTTTGGTTTTTAGAATTCCTTTTTCGCCGAGTGTTGCACTCGGCACATGATAAACATATGCCGAGTGTGGCGCTGTAAGACACTCGGCAAACATTTTTCAAACAGTATTTGTTTTTTTTTAAATCCTTTTTGTCGAGTGTTGCACTCGGCATATGATAAACATATGCCGAGTGTGGCACTGTAAGACACTTGGCAAACATTTTTCAAACAGTATTTGGTATTTTTAAAAAATATCGTTCGCCGAGTGTCTTGGTGAGAACACTCGGCAAATTGTGTTTGCTTTGCCGAGTGTCTTGGTCATAACACTCGGCAAAGCCTCAGAAATCTGTTTTTTTTTGGTTTTGCATTACATTTCACAGCACATATATATATCACAGCACAGATATATTACACAGCACATATATCACATATATATATCATCTCCACATATCACATACATCACAATGGTACACAAATGTCATACCACAATACCAACATAAGGTTCGAGTTTAAAGTATCCACCACAAGTGCATTACAAGCATAAGTGCAACACAAGGAATAAGTTCAACACATGAAAAGAAGCAAATCACCAATTAGACCACGGCGACTGCTGCGATTGGTCATGAGGTACATCGTTTGATGCCGCCGATTGACCCTGCACAAAGAATAGATAAGATTAATTCTCTGGAGAAGCTAATCGATTGGTTAAACTTCCATTAACCAACCATGTCAGTTGAATCGCTTGACACCAAGTACAATATACAATCAGGCACTCCGGCCATACTCCATGATGCTCGTGCAATGAGATTGTCTCTAGTAGATGGTGGTTTCTACACATAAAGATGGTGGATACTTTACTATGTAATCAGGCACTCCGGCCATACACATAAAGATGGGCAACACGTAATCAGGCACTCCGGCATCATGGAGGATACTTTACTATGGTCTCAAACTATGTTCATTTTGTAAAATCTGTAGGCTGTCCAGACTTACTTTACCAAGAGAGCTTAACTGCAGCTGTCTGAACTCTCTCATTCTAAAGTAGTAACTAGGTAAAAGTATTAATTTCCTGTTAGCTAAGAAAGTTTGCCCCCAACCGAGAGACATACTACGTAGTAGACAAAGTCACAAAGCACAATGCCAGAAGGAAAATTAGTTTTGCAGTCGCAAATAATTGCAGTTGAAATATCAGTTATATACAAAACATTTTTTTCCTTCTTCCATAACTGAACCCAGGATCTAATTTTTGTTAGTCACCGGATTCAAGTACCCCTAAATGATGAGTCCCTCATATATGTTATTGTTTGGGCCTTTGCTCAGAGTCACCGGATTTCTATATTTCCCCTTCCTATCGATCAATATGCACCCCAAATCACAGTAGAGCACCCGGCACTTAGATGTGTTAGCAGCATATCATCAGATCTGATCTCAACCGCTGCAAGAGAGATTCCTGTTTACTGACGATATTAAAAAATGGATTCACAAGGTCCTCAGCACAGGGTGGGAAAAAAACAACGGTAGACAGGAACATGCAACATGATCATGATCGGTATAAACTAATCCAGCCATCCAGACCAAGCGTCTACTTGCACTGAAACTACTAAGTGGCCTTAGATCTGAAAGGAGAAGCGAACAAACAACTGCACCAAGAATATGGTTTTCTTGCTCCGGTCCATGTCCATAGCAGTGACAAGTCTAGTTTCCCATGCGCTGCTGATGCTTGGCTGCGTGCCCAAGGCAGATCCGATCATTGCAACTGTGTGACCCACTTGCGTGTTTGCTCCAGATAAAAAACGGAAGGAGAGACAAACTGATCTGGTTTCCATCTTCCAATCCTCCTTCGCCGATGCAGGTGACAGCGCTGGAAGCTCACTTTCCCAGCCCAACTGCCCAGTAGAAGTTACAGAACCAACAGATGGGTGACGAACATGCCTGACACAGGTGCAAATGAATAAGAATAACAGCGCTAGCTCCAGCCTCGCTCTACTTGCCATACGTAGTGCACTGCACCACGACGTGCGTGCCGTGCACTCCCGTGAATTCCGGCCGTTGCGTTGCGGGCAGCTACGTCGCAGCGGCACATGGACGGGGCTCGATCTGTGCCTGTGCTCATTGTTCACTGTCCATGGTCCACATTTTCTGCATGAGCTTGTAGTTTAGTCTACACACACTGCCGGATCGATAACGATCCATTGGCTACAGATTACACACATATCTGGATGGACGCACTTCTATAGGCAGGTGTGAACAATCTGTAACTCTGTAAGGCACTTCTAGGCAGACTCCGGCCATACTCCGTGAGGAGATCCATTTAATTCATGGATTTGACCTCTAAATTCAGTTTTTTGGATCTGGATTACGTGGAGGCAAGACGTTTGGCAGGATTCCGATAAAAAAAACGTTTGGCTGGATTTTATGAACTGAAACTGTTTTTAAAATCTAGAGCTGCTGAAGCTCTTCGGCATAGGCCGTGACCCAGACCTACTCCAGATCCCCCAGTGGTTCCATCAGTACACGCAACCAAATTAAGCGAGACGAGGTAGAAGCCTAGAAGGCCAAACGAAGACAAATGTATGCAGGTAGCAGGCGATAAAGCTCCAATCCTTAATTAGTGTGACTTTTCAAGTTTTATCTACAGTCGTACATGTTAAGAGGTAAAGCAGCTAGAGCTGCTGCAGCGAACACGGAACAACACCCAAACCAAGGTAAGCAAAAGGGGCAGAAGTGAACTAGCAGCTCTGCAAACTGCAAATTAACAAGCTGAGTAACCTTTGATGCAAATCACCCCATCATTCCCATTGCTAGACTAATCGGCACTGAGGATAGATGTACTCACAGGAGTGTCTTCAGGAGGACGAGGAGGAAGGAATAGCACTTGTGGCAGAGGTTCACCCATCTTCGCGCTGAGATTTTGCATCCACTGAAACATCTGCTCCTGCCTCTGCCGATCAGCGTCAATCTTCGCCTCCAACGCTATTCTCTGCCTCCTCTCTTCTTCAAGCTCGGCCTACAAAATTTCACCTCAATGTTACAATGGAAATCAAAGGTATGTAAGAAACAATGAATGACGAATAAAAGAGTAATAACCTACAAAGTCTGCATGACGTGCTGTGTACTGGTCGGCCGTGGGCGTATGGGCGGCCTCTGGCCCGTGTCGCTTGCTCGGATCTGGGAGAGAGTGGGAGTAGTGGTCGTGTCGACGACGCTGTCGCCAAGCCAGTACCTGCCATGCTTCTTGCCTCCTCCCACCCTCATGACAAGGTCTCCTTCGAAATCCTGGGTGCTCGGATCGTACTCCGGCCCATGGACCGCCTTGGCCGCCGTTGTGTACTCGGTGAGACGGCTGTG